GACGATAAGATTATTTCAGATATATATCCGAATTACTTACACAAAGGAACGCGTCTGGTCTGCAAGACCGAAATTTGTTCTAGAATCGTTGTTCTCTAATACACTGCGTTGAAAATACTGACAATCGTAGCACCATACGCGCTTTCATGTGAAAATGCCGCAAAAGCAATTATGTTTGGGCCTGATAGACATGATGCGTCCACTGCAGGTTCAACAACGTCACAAGCGTGTCCTCACTTTCTGAAGAGTGTGAGATGAGTAGTTCGTGGCACTCTAGTCTCTGCTCACAAGATATTCGAACTATATTTCATTATTTGTTCATAATATAAGAGATTCAATGACGAGTTTCTCTGTTTGTACAGTTGGTCTGTAACTGTGCAATTCTATGAAATCCGTAGCTTAAAAAATATTACACACTATGAAGTCGAGAATAAATCGAGAGATTAATTAACAGGTGTATCACAGTCGTCGACACCTACCTAATGTTTCATTATTTTGATTTGTAGTGAGCATTGCTGGGATGCGTAATGATGATTATTTCTAGTATTATTTGTCGTGAGTCCGGTAATTTACCATTCTCCAATAAATTTGATTTCCAATTAGGATTGTGCTGTTCATCTGTTCGTCGCGTAATTATCGGTTTGATAGAGATATATTTGATACTTCAACAATAAAGCTTTCAGTTCACATACAGGCATGGGCGCCGCCAGGAAAAAATGCTGGAGGAAGGGGCAAATAGGACGAAATAATGAAGATATTCATTTGAAAATGAAAATTGCGGTCTTTCATTATTTTTGCTGAAGACATTCCAGTGAACGTATTTGTCATATTCACATTCCTATGCCGTTAGTTTCATATAACGGATGTTCCATTACTTCATTTCATCAAAATAACGTCAATTAACAGTGAATTGTAGATGAAAAATCCACATGATCTCATTCCTCTTGAATTCACAGCAATGTTCCATGAAACAGTGATAGCACTTTTACATAACATTCTTACATATTGATCATGAAACATTTTCGTAACTTTGATCATGTTGTATCATTATGTGAATTCATTCACAAGAAATTTATCTTCAACATGACAACGACCAATCTAATTGCAGTATTTCTCGATTTCTCACGAACGAACACGAAGATAGATAATCGAGTTCATCGAGCTGGACTTGCTCAAAGGTCGCAAGCACGGTCGGTCGAGAGGGGTCTTGTCGTCTTCGAGTTGAAAATGAAATGGCGGCAACGTTGTTATGTTTTGTTGTGTTATAGTTCTTTGAACAGGAAATTGAAATAGTGCATTGCAGTGGCGGCTCGTGACTTCCATGACAGAGGAGGCTGAATGATATAAGATTCATTGTGAAAAACAACTCTCTACGACTCACCCAAATCAATAGCTTAATGACATTCTGTTTACCAGTTAACCTGAACTTAATATTTGAAGAGATGTGTTCCTGTGAGTTGCAGTGTCTATCCAATCCGCGAGGCAAATTTTTCAAATCATTATATTTTAATCGCCCCCAACATGATGACTTATCGGTTGAAAATAATACGCAGTACGAACGAAATAGCTTATTCCTTACCTCAGATCCCGTCAACCAGATATATTTTTTATAATTATCAGAATTGAAAGAACGATTTTGTTTGTTATTTACCTGTTACAATCAGATTTTCTCAATTCCGGTGTCGGACGTTTGTTTTTCACAATCAATTTATCTTTATAAGACAAAGCACTGAATGTGTTCACCAAAAAGTATTCCACTAAATCGCAATCGTTCAAAACACTCATTTTTCAGAAATTTATAGAGCTTTTAACGATCAACCTAACATAAACAAAAACAATGCACTCGCGATTGTCCGCAATTCGTGACGAAACACGATCACGACAAACACGTGTTATTCGGGCGAATTCGGGCATTTGCATTGTGAAGGAGTCTAGCCTCCTACAGATGTTGCCGAGTTGAATATTCCACGCGTGATTTGCAGACTTCAACGTAAGATGCGTGAGCAAGCACTGTTGCCAATTCAAAAATATTCACCTGAAGACAGGAAATAAAATCAAAATCCATGTATATTGGTATCAATTTGATGAGAAAGTATAGATAATATCAGTTTAAGGAGAATCTCTGAGGAGCCTCAGCCTTCGTTGCTTCCTCTGAGGAGCCGCCACTGGTGCATTGAGAATTGAGCTGTCTAAATTTCATAAATTTGATTGGAACGTGAAATGTCCTATTTCGGTGGGATGAATAATATATTTGATGAATGTTTTTCTACCATATGATAAGTGAAAAAGGTCCGGTCCATGAGGTAAATGGGGATCTTACATTCATCAGCAATTTGAGGTAATTGTTTCGAACTAATTTATAGCGGCTGAACGACCAAAACAAGCTGGTTGAACAAAATGTTCACTCAAGAATTCATTATGATCATCGTTTGCGGGCTGGCGGCCATAAGACAAAGCAAAATCAAGCACCAGGGGGAGTTATTCGTTCAGGACTGAAGACCTTAACTGGCATATGCCTGTTACATAATCATAAAAGGCTTTGGCCGTGTCTGGTGTAATTTTTACTAGGAAGTGGATGAATGTATCGATGTCATTAATTCTAGCCAGTTCATTCTAGTGCAGTTTTTGTACGGAGGACAATGAAGAAATAAATGCTATGTGTATTCGTTTTCTTGCATATTGCACATTGTGCAAATTTCAGAGAAAATTATAGTGTGTTCATTTAACGAAATCTTAAGTTGGTGGCGATTGGTGAGTCATGTTATCCGCTCCGCGGTAGGATCATTTCAACTATTAAACTGACACTCTTTGTGATTATGCAATAAGTTATCGATGTATTACCCGTATATTTTGAAGAACTTATAGTATTACTACAAAAAATCTATTTCTTCACATGAAAATTCTCAAACAATCAACAACCTCCTACAGAACAACTTCAAAATTTTTGAATTGTGAAAGGGGTCAAGTTACTTGTTAGAAATTTATTACGAATACCTATATGAAACGGTATATTTCTGTTTTCGAATTCAAATAAGCCATATCCGCAAGAGAGCAGTCTGGAGATTCCAAATTTGTTGAAATTTTTGTCTAGATATTTGGTAATGGTAGGCATACTGTTTCATTCTTTCACTCATACAGTCAAATTTTGTACATTTGAAATGAGTTTTTTATACTGGATGTCTATGTACAATGTGATTGTAGGTATTGTTTGGTACATAAGCGTAGACGGACATTCAGTACGAAAAACTCACTAGGTACACTGGTTCGCCACTATCCCAACCGATTTTTTAAACGCTTCTTTTTTTGCTGACTATGTTAGCACCTTCAGAATATGATCAAAATCATCTTCAGAAAAAAATTGAAACTGGTTTTGATCTTCTCCTGAACATGCTAATGAAGTTAGCGAAACACATGTCGAGGCATTTGAAAAATCGGTTTGGTTAGTGGTAAAACAGTGTAGTGGATTATCGTGCCAGAAGTTTCACCCTTCGATATATAAAGGACTCATTACAAAATGTAGTTGAACCAGATGTATGAGTAATACAAACAAATGTTACCTACCATTACCAAACGTTTAGGCAGAAAGTCCAAAATTACAAATTTTCGACTGCTCTCTTGCAGATGTGGCTAGATCGAATTTGAAAAAAAAAAGATCGTTGTATTGAGATTTGAAATACACCTGTAACAAGGTGTAACTTGACGTTGAACAATTGAAAAATTGCGAAGCTGTTGATCTGTTGGGTAAGAGGTTTACAGTGGGTTGGGAAGTATCATAAAACATAGATTTTCAAAAATAAACAACGACTTATTCGAGTTTTTTTTTCATTTCATCATATGTTTTCAAATCGTTTATAATATGTTATCCATACAAAATACTTTTATTGGTGTATCTGAGAAACTATTATGAGGAAATTCAAACTGATTTCTCAACTTTTTGAATTGACACGGCCGTTACTTGATGGAAATTCATAGCAAATGTAAAAACTTCACGAATGATAATATTTCCACAAATTTCTCAAACACACGACATGTTTCGCTAACACAGTAGCTTCGTCAGGTGGAATATCGTACCAGTATTGCACCAGACGAGGCTAATGTGTTAGCGAAACATGTCGTAAGTTTGAGAATTTTGTGGAAATCTTTCTACATTTGATTTTTCAACCTCAACACTGTCTCAGTGTCTTGGCGTTTTCTCAGTTAACCCCAATTATTTTTTTTTCATTTGGTCCTGAAATACTTGGAGATTCTAAATAAACTACTACCTATGAATCAAACACTATTTATTGGTTTTACAATTATTTTCATCGACGGTAAATTATCTCCGGAGATGAAATAATTCATCACCTTCAACAAATGTTTTCAGTACATGATATATTCGAATCAGATCATTACTACTATTCACTGATGTAGATATAATTGATGTGATAATTGTGAAAATCGGTCGAAGGATGAGTCAATTCATTTTCAAATAATCAGTTTCCTCATCCTATAGGGAGAGTTTCCTCTTGTGGTAATAGCATGGTATATCATATCAGAACGTTCAATGAATAAAACCCGAATTTCAAATTGGTACACACACTGACCATTGTTGACTACACTGGCGATTGTTGAGATATACTAATACAAAATGTGTACTTGTATGAGCAATCAAAGGAACTATCTATCTTCAGAATAATGAATTCAGTTAATTCAACTTCACAATTCATTTCTATGTGTATGAACAGATAATCCTGTCAACATTTCATTTGTAGAGATTAATGTTTTCTTCAATTTCTATTGAAATCGAGTTATACATGAGCCTTGAAGATCACTTTCGTTCATTATTGATGATTATGATAAATTTATGCTCAAATGATTTTATTTGTTATGATGAATATTTTAGGCCAAGAACGCCCACAGTGTAAGTGAACGGTAATGAGGTAATAATATCAACAATAACAACAATAGGTAGGTATTACGGAATATTGAAAAAATATAAATTTTGAGTTAGATAGACTCACCTGGAAAATGGGATTCATTCTGATCGAAATAGTTTGATGCACTTGAGAGAAAAAAATTAATATTCCTGGAAACACCTAGACTACTATAGTCAGCACGATATATTATGATCTATGGCAGTGACCTTTTCAAGTTTTCTGAACAATAAAACCATTAGCGAATACATCTGCTTCTTTTATGTGGATCTCCCGCCATCACACTTTCAGGGTACTATAAGGGGAGGACACAGAGTATACTTACTTGAATTTATATAGTACATAGAATCACTCAGCATTGATTTGCGGATTTTGTTTCTTCAACACATGAATACGTATTGATACATTATAAATTGATCACTGGAATTAACGTCTTAGACCTAAATATATAAGTCAAATTGAAAATCTATTGGCTAGCCCCATGTATAAGTTACTCGTCAGAGCAATATGAAATAACAAAAATTTCTGATCAAAATCCCACAGGATGATAATCAGAGTTAGTGAAATTGTAGCGGTAGCGTGTTAGTTGTTCCCGTTTGAACAAATATTGTTTCAATTCATTTCTTGAATTGGTTTCGATCTTTCGAATTTTTCGTAATCAGAGTTTGATCTCATAGATATATTATTATTCAGAAAATAATGCATGCACTCAACATGTAATTGAATAAAATTAACATATTCATCATAGAATTCACATTTTGGTGATTATATATAGGACTCGATGATGTGAGAGTGTTCGTATACTGAAACTCCGAATGAATCATATAATACAGGATCACAAATTTCAGAATTTTTGTGAGATTTGATTGAGAAAATCATCACTTCTCAAATGATTTCCTCAATTGAAATAATGAAGTTTCATACCCCGATTAAGTAACTATACGTTCTGAAAATTCACAAATAAGCTCGTTGTATTATGATGATATGAATCTTCATTCACCGATAATGCATTTTTATTGTTGGAAGATCTTGGAAACTCGGAAAGAACTCAGCTGTAATTATTCCAGCAAAGGACCCAGAACAAAAAACATGGCAAATTGGCTCTTGGTGGAATTGGCTGAAATGTTACTATGTTGTTGTGGGATGGCTCATATCATCAGAAAAATATGTGAGTTCAAAAAGATTCGTATGCCTAGTTTCTGAGATATAAGCCTACAAAGTTATGAAATACTTCGTATCGAGGTATATAGGATCGACAAAAAAGAACTGTCATTTTTAGTATGAATGAGACAAAGTAAGCTAGAAAATGTACTGATCGAAACGAATAAACATATCTAGTCATAATCACATAAATTATAGTGAATCAAGGTGTATGCGAGGCACGGTAAGAATACACTTACGTCGGAATAACGTAGTTCAATTACCATAACGTTCGGTTGAAATGAAGTTCAATGGACACTTCTGATCACGATAAATCAACGCAGAAAATATCGCTGACAAACACGTCGTTTCCAACCAGTACACAATAGTATATTGTTTAACGAGCACGGAATGATAGTTATTTCTCACGAGAATGAAGCTTGCAGCATGAGCTGTAGGCGAATGCTGCAATCATTCGAGTGGAAATTTTCAGCATTCCGTGCAAGTTATACTCTTTGAATTTTGAGGGCTGTAACAGCCGCATTTTTAATTCCTTTGCCTTGTAGCCATCTGATTTCCTCCCAAGTAATGCTCATCTATAAGACAATGCTGTCATTTGCTGAAATCTGACATCCCATGAGCGATGAGGTTTCTTTGAAATAATGACACAATGGCGTCATTGTCATATCAGACAAGGAAACGAAATTGATGACATACAAAGTACCTCATTGAAGTATCGAACACAGAAAAACAAAAGCAATTTCTTGTTATACCCGTAGGAAAACGTGTTTTCAACTACTGATCTCCACGTCAATAACCCTTTGAAACCGGTGGAAACTGCCCAGATCTCAACCAAATTTCTCACGAGAAATATATGTGGGATATCGAAGCTTTGTTACTCTTCCCAATAACCATATTCGAATGTTGGAAATTGAAGATTTGACAAAGTTGATGAAATGAGATTTCACAACATTCACGTCGCATCAATTATTGTCAATCGTCTAATGTCTGGTTTTCCTAACGGTTCTCAATCGTTTCAGCCAGATTATTTCTCATTTTCATCGTTTCCACAATCATCATCATTGCATCATGTTCATACTCGTTGCGATTATTATTGTAATCAACTAACCTGATATGTCGCCCATGTAAGTCCTTTCCATAGCTGTTCCTCTGTCTACTTAGTAAGGAGCTTATATCTATAATTTAATTTTTATATTTAATCTTTTTTCCCTTTTATATAGCCATTTCCCTTAACTATAAATTTTGAAATTGATTCCCTATATATAATCAATTTCAAATATTCACTTTCATGTAACCATTTTCCGTATTCCTATTCAAATATGCTCGACTACTCGTATTTGTACCTATAACCAACTTAATTGATATGTCGCCCATGTGAGTCCTTTCCATAGCTCTTCCTCTTTCTACCTAGTGAGGCGCCTATCTTTACGTATTCCTATACAAAAATGCTCGACTACTCGTATAACCAACTAACCTGATATATCGCCCATGTAAGTCCTTTCCATAGCTGTTCCTCTTTCTACTTAATGAGGCGCCTATCTCATATTCGATTATGCTCGACTACTCGTATAACCAACTGACCTGATATGTCGCCCATGTAAGTCCTTTCCATAGCTGTTCCTCTTTCTACTTGGTGAGGCGCCTATCTCTACGTATTCCTATTTGAATATGCTCGACTACTACACCCAACCTGATATGTCGCCCATGTGAGTCCTCTCCATAGCTGTTCCTCTTTCTACTTAGTAGGGCGCCTATCTTTACGTATTCCTATTCAAATATGCTCGACTACTCGTATAACCAACTGACCTGATATGTCGCCCATGTAAGTCCTTTCCATAGCAGTTTCTCTGCCTACTAGGTGAGGCGCCTTTCTCTACGTATTTCTATTCGAATATGCTCGACTACTCGTATTTGGAGGGTGTCAGGAGAAAACAGAAAATGTCCTTTTTTGTTCAAAACGAGTTAGTGATGCCATCTATTAGCAAATTTGAAGTATAAACCTATGCTCAACCCAATTCACGAGAAAACGTGGAGCGTCATGTTCTCAAACTTAGTTTTAGAATGCCATATACGGAGAAAACAGGAAATGTTCAATCAAAAACGAAATGAACGGAGAATGTCAAATCATACTGAGAACATTTATTTATGGCCATAGCTGACTTTTCCACTGTTACGCCAAGAATTTTGGCTACATAGTGGACAGGCAAAATCTTGACTACGACAGAAGAGAGCACTTTACTACCTTGCTGTGGTAGCAGAGCTACTTTATAAAGAATTTACTAACAGTAGAAGCAAAGTAACCTTTCTGTTGTAGGAGAGTTACTGTTCTATCCCAATGAAGAGGCTCCAATCTATTATCTTGTTATCGGAAAGCGGATTACTAATACAGAAAAGATATTTTCTGCTACAGTATAGCGTCTACACTATACTGTTTCATCACTAACTGAACCGATTTTTCAAACACCTCCAGTTTTAATCTTCTTCTGAACATGCTAACATAGTTAGCGAAAGCGAAGAGTGTTTTTATATAGCTAGTGAAAATTAATCTTCTCATACTAGCAGAAATATTTGCTGGAAATATCTTTGAAAGTAAGCTGGTACCATTTCATTGGTATCATTTAGCTCGTCAAACAACACTACGAAGAGCACACTTCAATCAAACTTCTGAATTTTCAATAATTCGATTAGTATTTGATATAATAATTTCTTGAAAATCTAGATTCAATTGAAGTTTGATGATTATCCTATAGTTTTGTATGTGAGAGAACTGACTTCCACTTGCTGATAAAACACTTTGATACTATTCAATTGGAAGATAATTCATTGAGAAATGGACGATTTCAATTAAAAAAAAACCGAATGGAAATGTTATAAAATACTTCATTCTTACAATACGGTCGCGTCAATAGTGCGTTTTACTTCGATTGCAGCCGAAGTGTCAGATTCATATTCAGGTTCTTCCTGGAGAGCCGATATCATCAATAGATTATACTTGAGGTCTACAGAACTACTTATTTTGCATTGACATGCCCTTTCAATAACTAGGCTTCGTCTCAATGCAGTAGTAAACGTGAAATTGTGGAGTTCGTACTGTCGTTTTTGTCTACGTTCAACTCTTTTTCTTGACATATATTCCTTGTTATAGGTAGGGTCCCTTGATGGAAATTGACATTAAAGTCATCTTAACAGGGTACGGACAGATCATAGCTGCATTCTTTTTTAATGATCTAGAGATTTTAGTTTTGTCTACTGGCATCCCTGACATTGCTGTCACGTCTCATCCATGGGCGCTACAGAAAATCATTCAAAATATTAATGATAGGTATGTACAGGGTATTTACTTGTTGGGGAAGATCATATGGCGAACGATTTTGTAATTATGATCCGATTCTATTCAAAATTGGAAGGTATGTGGGGTTTTCCGTGGTTGGAGATGATGATTGTTTCGTCAAACTTGAAAAATTCAAGATGACGGATCCAATATATAGCAAAAGAAACTAATTATATCAGATCCTATTTAAGATAGGTATCTGAGGGTTTTCGAGGTCGAACTTTATGATTTTTTGTCAAAACTGGGAAATTCAAGAGAGCGGATCGGATATGGCGAACGAAACTTGTAATTATGATCCGATTCTATTCAAAAAATCAAAATTGATATCTGGGAATTTCCGGGGTCGGAGATTATGATTATTTCGTCAAAATTGGGATATTCAATGACGGATCCAATATATGATGGACGACTTTTGTAATGAAGATCCGAGTCTATGCCAAATTGGTATCTATGGGGGATTTCGGGCTAGGAGATTATGATTGTTTCGTCAAAATTGGAAAATTCAAGATGACGGATCCAACATGGCTAAAGACATTAGTTTATATAATTATTACTCCGCCACAAATAGAAAGTATGTAGGAACGTGCCTATAAGTTATTCTGCGTATACTTAGCGTATACCTACTTCTTTCTTACTTTCATCAAAAAATTATTCGAAAATTACTTTTCATTCAAAAGAGACGGAAAAATCATATGTATAACATGGGGGTGAAGTATATTCTATTC